CATTTTCATTTTGGTTTTAATTTTAATTTTGGTTTTAATTTAAATTTTGGTTTTGGTTTTAATTTTAATTATCGTTTTCATTATCATTCTCATTTTTGTTCTCATTTGCATTTGCATTTTCATTGTCATTTTCATTTTGGTTTTAATTTTAATTTTAATTTTATATTTAATTTTAATTTTAATTTTAATTTTAATTTTATTTTTATTTTTATTTTTCGTTTTCATTTTCATTTTCATTTTCATTTTCATTTTAATATTCATTTATATTTTCGTCTTCCTTTTCATTTTCATTTTCATTGTCATTTTTATTTACATTTACATTTTCTTTTTAATTTTCATTTCCGTTTTCTTTATTTTATTCATTTTTCATTTTGGTTTTAATTTTAATTTTAATTTTCATTTTCAATCTCATTTTCATTTTCATTTTCATTCTCATTTTCTTCTTATTTTTATTTTACCTATTTTTCTTTTTATTATTATATTTTTTGCATTTATTATATATTTTATTCTTAATTTAACAAATTAGAATTGATTATTTTTTCATCTGTTAATACTTCTTCTATATTTAAATTTTAAAAGTTTTTTATTTCATCTTCGCTTACTATATTTTTTTCACTACTTTCATTTAAATTTTTTTAAATCTATTCTCCTTTTAAAATTGAATTTTAAGAATTATAATATTAGTTCTGCTTGATATTTTTATTTAAAATATTATTATTTTTGCCATCAATTTATTTATCATAATTATATTAATTTATTAAATTATTTTTATTTTTATGAATATCTAATTCACTAATCTCAATTAAATTAATATGGTTTTTATTGTTTTATAAATTTTCTTAATTTTCAACTATTTGCTTACTTTATGCTTTTATTATTTTAAATATTAAAAAAGTTAAATAATTTTATATAAATTTAACAAGTAAATATTTTTTTATCTATTGTATTTGTAAACTATTAAAGATGATCCTATTAAATCATTTTTTATTTTTAATATTTAACTTTTTTTTTAAAAAAATATTAAAAAAATATAAATAAAGTATTATTGGTTTAAAAAAATATATATATATATAAAGAATTTATTTTAAATTTAAATGTTTGAAAACATTTTAAATTTTTGCAATGCATTATTATTAAAATTAGTTTTATAAATTTTATACTTTATATATTTAAACATATCTCTTCGTAATATTACAATTATAAAGTATATAATTTTTTTTTAAATAAATATTTTAAATTAATACTAATATCAAATTCTTTTATTTGATTAATATAAACAAATGATTCTAAAAAAAGGAAATATATATTAAAAAAAAAATCTAAATATATATAAATAAAAATATATTTATTAACAAAAATAATATTTTAAATACTATAATTTAAAACAAATATATATACGTATTTTATTTTATATTTAAATAATAAAATTTTTTAAGAAAATATTTAAATTTTTCAATTTTTTTGATAATTTTAAATACTTTATTTTTTAGATACATAATAGTCATTAAAATAATGAGTTTTTTATAACTCTTCTTTTATATTTTATTTAATATTTATTTGTTTATTAATTTTATTTAAAGTTTAATTATATTATTTGTTATTGCTTTCATTAAAATATCCCTAAAAATAATAAATAAAATAACTTTAATTAATAATAAATAAATATTTTTTATTTACTTTAAATGTCAAGCAAGCTTTTTTTGTAATTAACTGCTATCATTTAAATTGCCTTTTTTATTATTTTTTTAAATTTCATCTTTTTCACTTTACAAAGCGTTTTTTGTAATATCTTGAAGTTTTAATTTATTATAAATAGATTCTTATATATTTTCAGAACATTCAATAGTTGAGTTTTCAGTCCTTTTTTTGTTTTAAATTAAATTTTATTATTTATTTTTTTACGCTAAATAATATTCGCTTTTGTATTCATTTTATTTTTCATTATTAAGTTTAGCTAATTATTAAATTTTTTAGTTAATATTATAAATTAAAAGATTAATCTAATTATTTTGATTTTTATTAACTAACTCTAATTAATTAATTTTTGTATATTGTTATTTGTTTTCCTAATATATAAATAGAAAAAAATAGAATAAATAATAATAATATATATATATATATATATAGAGAGAGAAAAAATAAAAAAACATATTAAATAATAAATTACTTCCATCAAATTATTATTTTTTTTAGTAATTTCTAATAAGTTTTTGACCAAATTATTATTTTAATTTTCTAAATTTTCACATTTTTATTAAATATAATCCATTTATTGTTATAACATATTAATTTTTTAATAAAACTATGTATTTATATTTATTTCTTTTTTAGGACTTAAAATAGATTGATAAATAATTTTTATTTTATCTTCTTCGTCTATATTTTCAGCAACGATATTAGGTTTAGGTGAAACAGAAATAACTTTTTATTAATTTATAATACTTATTTAATTATTATTATTATTATTTTAAGAGTTTAAATTATATAATTATAATCTATTAGGGGCTATATCATATTATTTTTATTATTATTATTATTATTTATTACAACTTGAAGTATTCTAATTGTTATAAGCACTTTAACTAGTATAATTTCCTTTAGCATTAGTTGAAGGAGTATTAATTACATTGATATTTCTTTATTAATTTGCGTCTAAAAGAGCTTTTATTTTTTTATTTATATCTTATTATATATCTTTAAATTAATTATCATATCTTCTATTCGGCTCTTTACTATTACTATTGCTTCTTAAAGTAGGGGAAACAAAATTTTAACAAAATTCAGAGTACTAATTATTTCTAAAAGACATTAACTAGTCTTTATTATTCTAAGAAACATTAGAATTTTTTCGATCTTTTTATGATAACTATCTTTAAATTTCAGCAAGACATTTTTATATATCTTTATGTTTAGGACTATTCTTTTTAACTAAGTTTGTTTTATTCATAGTTTTTATTACAGTTTCGCTTTTATTTCTTTATTTATTTAATTATTTTTTTATCAAAGAGTTGCTTATATTTAAGTTCTTTTTTTACTGTTTTCTTATTATTGGGGAATGTGTATATTCGGAGATAATGTTTACCTACTTTTCGGTTATATATTTTAAGTATTTATTTCATGTATTATTTATTGTTTTAAATTAGATTGTATTTTTTGCTTTATTGTATTATTATGGATTTATTTTTATTGCTGTTTATTTAACTATTCAAATACAAATTTAGGTTTTGTTGTGTTTTCTAAGTTTGTTTAGTTTCTTCGATGAAGAAGCATTTGCTCTTCTTCGAAAAATGGATTTTTTTCTAATACTTAAATATGGTTGTTTTCGTTGTTTTTATTGTCAAAACTTTATTTTTTAGTTTGTAAAAGTTTATATTTATTTATATTTTTTATAATTTAGTCCATTTTTTTAATTTATGTCTTTTTTATTTTTTCTTTTGTATTTTTTTTATTAATTTCTTGCTTAAAATAACTTTGTTTTTCATAAAAATAATAATTTGGTGTATTTTTTTATTTCAAATTAAGGAAATTTATATATAAATAAAACATATTATTATTTTAGTTATGTGTAAAATTCAAAATTTAAATTAAAAGCATATAAAAGAATTTTATAATATATTTTTTATAATTCTAAATTTTATTTTGATTTAAATAGATAAAAAGACTATTAAATTTATAGAAATTAAATAATAAAACCATTTTTAACATTAATTAAAGTCAATTTATATGATAAGATATATTTAGCAAAAGTAAATTATTAAAAATATTAAGTATCTTTTAATGAATTACATAAATATAATTATATAATTTTAAAATATATTAAAATATTTAATTTTAAAATTTTATAATTTATTATTTATTTTTTTCAAATGTCAAAAAAAAAAAAAAAAAAAAATTATAAAAATAAAAATATTATTAAATTTTTTTTTTTTTTTTTCTATACAATTATTTAAAATAAAAAATAATATAAACACTTTTTTATTATATTATTTTATTAATAAATTAATCTTATTTATATTATTAATATATTAATTTTATAAATTAACATAACAAATTTATTTAAATGTAATAACAAAAAATGAAAATATTTTAATCATAATATTGAATAAAAAAATATATTTAGTCAGTTATAAAATTTGTCTACATACATTAATTTAGACATATGCTTGTAATTTATATCATCAAAGTTTATAATTAATTAAATATATTATATTTCTAAAATTACTTCTTATATAATATAAACATAAAAGTTTATTTTCTTTATTAAATAATAAATTAAATATTTATAAGAACATATATAATATAAAATATAGTTTTATGGTTTTTAATTATTTTATTATTAATTAATTTTTTTTTTTTAAAGAATAAAAAAAAATTTGATTTAAATATATATATATATATTTATATTTTTTCAAAATATATCTTTTATATATTTTATTTCAATTAAATAAAAAATGAAAAAAGTAACAAAAAAAATCGACTAACCAGTTATTTTCACATATAACGTTTTAAAAAACGTATATGATTATTTTGGAACAGTACACTTTGAACAAATATAAAAAATATTATAAAAATAATCTAATGCAAAAACATACTTATTACCAATAATTCAATATAAAGAAGATTCGGTAGAAAACAGAGCAAAGCAAGCCTAACAAAAAATATAATAAGTTAAAAAAAAATAAAAAAAAAATAATAAAAATAATAATATAGATATTAGAAAAAGAAAAAGCTTAAAAAGCCCATTTAATATCATATAGCACTTCGGGAATAGATATAAGATATTTCATATCTTAATTAGAAGGAAAAAATTAAGTATAATCATTATCCACAATAGCAACTCCTCATAAGTATAAAACAAAATATTTATATATATATATACATATTGTAAATAGAGGTGCATAAATAATAACTGCATTTGAAAAAAGGATTATTAATAATTAAGAAATTAATGGTATTTAAAGGTTTTTAGGTTTAGATTTTTAATCGTTTTTATTTTTTAGACCTGAGAATATGAGAAGTTTTAACCTTTCAATTTGTAATGATTAAAATGTTTCATATTATTCTGTAGGAGCTGAAACTTTATAAGCTCATTGTTCTGATTTATTTAAAGTTACTTCTAATGTTCTTTATAACGGGCTTAATAAAAGTTATGGACCACCAACTGATAATGATGGAGTTTTTTGCCATGAAGAAATTTAATGGGGAACTCATCTTCTAAATTTTGAATGTGATCATTCAGATTTAGTTGGTTTAGGTAGAAAAACTAATACTTATGAATAAGTTATTAATTTACTTATGTCAAATATTAGATATAATTATGGTATTTCTATAGAATGAGAAAAGATTGTTTTTTTTTTTATAGATAAATATAATAATACCATATTTATATATATATTTATTTTATATATATTTTTTTATTTTTTTTGTTCAAAAAAAAAAAAAAAAAAATTTTTACAGTTAAATAGTTTATATAATAACAATTTATAATTTCTTAAACTTCTTTATATTAGATTTTTAATTCCCTTCACTTAGATTTTTATATTAATAACATATGTAGATATTTATATTTTTTGTTGGAATTAAAAAGATAAATAACTTTAAATAATAAATATATTATAATAATATTATATAATTACTAAATTAAATAAAAGTATAAATAAATAATAATAATTAGATATATAATATTAGTTTATTAAAATAAAAAGCATTATAGATTTAAATAAAATTAAAAATCATATTTTTTTTTATTATAATCTATTAAAAAATCCATTATGTATTTATCTAAGTTTTTTATGGTTATCACATTCTACAATTCTTCCCTTTTCAAGCACAACAATTCTATCAAACTTTTCAATATTTTCTAATCTATGTGTAATAACAATAAGAGTTTTCCCCTCTGCAAACTAGAAAATTTATTTATTCAAAAGGTAATCAGTATAAGGATCCATATTTGATGTGGCCTCATCCAAACAGATAATTTCGCTATCCCTAAGTATTATTCTGAGAAAATTAATGATTTATTTTTCCCCATTAGAGAGATTTTCTCCACCTTAATTAATTTGGAAATCTAAATCATTATAATTATTATTGTTATCAAATTTTTGTTAATTATTTCTTATTTGTAAGCCTGTATTATTAATTTTTTACTAAATATATTCCTTTTCATAAATTCCAGTAGGATCTAAATTATCTTATAAGCAAGCTTTATAAAGGAATCCAAATTAAGGTATAATAGAAATTTAAGACCTTAAATATTTTAAGCTAAAATCTTACAAACTTTTATTATTTACAAATATTTATCCTTTCTAAATAGGATACATTCCAAAAAGTATATTAAATATCGAAGTTTTACCTGACCCTGTTCTTCCACAAATAGCAATTTTTTCTCCCTTTTTTATTTTTAGTGAAAAGTTCGAAATCACATATTATCCATTTTCTGCTAAATTATTGTTATATGCAAAACAAACATTTTTGAATATAATAGAATAGTTTTAATCGATTTCGCTTTAACTTAATTCGTATATTTACTAATCTTATTATTATTAATCTTTTAAAAGCGTAGTTATACTTTCCTATTCGTTTTATAAATACTACCCTATTCTTTCTACACTAATAATCTATTATTCCACAGTACAAAATTAAAATATTACATCAGAAAATTTTCCAGACAAAAGCAAAACATAAGTCAAACACATAGAAATAACTGCATTATTAATACCTAAAAATTAAAAAAACTCCTTCTAATAAACTGCTATAATACTTGATATTCCCACTACTAAAAAAAAAGCATTCATAATAGATTAAAGTCTAATCAACATCCATATTTAAATTGCTTAAGAAATCAAAAAGCTATTTATATTTTCATTTAGTGAGCTTATGTATTATTTTAAAATAAAATCTTCTTTTCCAAAAGCTCTTATTATAGATAAACCTTTACAAGTTTCGTTTATTATATTTAATAATTTCCCTGCATTTACCGAATTTAATCTTTTAATTTCTCTATTTGAAATTCTAAAAAGTTTCTATAATCTATTTACTGCGAAAATTGCTATAAAACAAAAGCTATAAGCCAATATAATTATATAATAATTCCAACTAAGCATCTTTTTTTTTTTTATGAATAACATATATTGGTAAAAAAAAAAAATATATACCCTACAACAATAGCTAAAAATTTAGTAAATCTATTAACTGAAGCAGGTAATAATTCATCAATATTAACAATATCATCCGAAACTCTATTAATGATTCTTCCTACAGGATTACAATCAAAAAACTTCATTTTTGAATACATAATACTTTTATTAAGTCTACAAAATAGTTTTTTTGAAGTTAAAATATTACAAATGCAATAAAGAAAACTTCTTAAAAATGTTATAGCTAAAAATATATAAATAAAAGACAAAAACAAATCTTTGAAATCTCCTTTGAAATATTTATTAATATTTTGAAAAGAAAAATTATTCTTTTTTTAATCTTCTTTAGGCTAAAAATAATACTTTAACCAAAAATCAATTAACATCATTGAACCTTAACTAAAAAAGCTTGAAATAAAATATAGAAATCCTAAAATGAAAGTCATAGATTATAAATAAAGTATAATAGTAGATAATTTTACATCTCCTTTTTCCCTTTTTTCTTCATTATTATTACTTAGCTTAATAATAATCTAATTGTCTTTTATTTATTATTCAGTTTATGCTTAACCTTATTGATTAAGCAATTATTATTTCGTAGAAATTCCACTATACTGTAATTAATTATTTGAATTAATTTCTAATAGTTGATTTGATGAAATTTTTGACATTGAATACGAATACTACTAGTAAACATTCTATTATTAAGCTTTTTGATTCAAAGCCTTTAAATTTTAATAATACATATTCGACTTTTAAGAATTATCAACTCTATAACTATTAATCATGCAATCTCTATCATGTGCAATTTAACTTTATTAATGAATATTTGAACCTAGATAACTCTCAGGTTAATTATGTTCATCATTATTATCAAAAAAATATAAAACTTCTTAATTATTATTATCAATTTCTAGACTATTTAAATCATAATCAATTAAAGAACTCGCGTATTCCATATAATCATCATTTGAAATAATTTTTGTTTTTTGAAAATTTTCCTTTTATAATTATCCGTTTATAAACTATTTAATTTTTTAATTATCTTTTTCTATTTTTCCGTTTTTCACATAAATAATCTTACTTATTTCCTCTTTTTTATTCAATAAACCATATTATGAAGTTATCAAAATTACTGTCTTTTATTTTTATTTGATTAAAAGTTATAAAATAGCATTTTCATATATTTTCTAAGCTACACTATAGTCCAGATTACTAAAAACATCATCTAAAAGATAAATATCATTACCTTAATAAATAGCCCTACATAGGCAAATTCTCTATTTTTATCCCCCACTTAAATTATTACCTTATGGCCCCACATTTCTTTAGTCTTCTTAATATTATAAATCAAAATCTTATTTCAATTCACAAGCCTCAAAACATTTTTTATACCAATTTTCATCATATTCTTTACCAAAAAGGATATTTTCTTTCACTGATTTATTTTATAACCAATGATTTTGCGATACGTAACTTATTGTTCCATTTACTAATATTTTATTAGTGTTTTTAAATATTTTCTCTATTTATTCTTTTTATTCATTTTATTCATTTACTACTTTTTATTAACTTTTCCTTTTTTCATCCATTAATAGTAAAATTTTACTTTATTTCCTATCTATTTATTACTCCATTTCATTTAAAATAGCATTCATTAATGCACTTTTGCCACTTCCTAATACATTTAATGAATATTTTTTAATATTAATATTTTTTTTTTTAAAAAAAAAAACCTATTAACCCTATAATTACATTTAAAGTTCCTTAATGGATTGTTAAAGTACTAATTTTTAATTCGAAAGTAGAATTATTATTTTTCTTATTTTTAGAATTTACTTCATCTTCATAATTATTTTCATTCTCTTTGCTTTCATCATTTTCCTCATCATCATCATCTTCATCAATATTTTAAACATTATATAATATAGGCTTACAAAGGAAATTATCAATACTTTCGTGTGCTTTTTCTTCAGCTATAGAAGAAAAATTACTTTTTTAATCTTAAGGCTTAGTATTTTTATATGCGAAAAGTTTTTCTAAAACTACTTAGTTTTTATCAATATCATATTTATTTATTTTTTATCCAGTTATTTATTATTAAGGCCATTTGAAAAAAGATGCTCTTAATTAAATATCCACTTTATAATACTTTTCATTTAATTATTATAAATCTTATTTTGGCGAATTAATAAAATTCTATTATTTAATTTCATTACTATTTATTTAGTTATTTTCTAAATTTTTTTATAATTCTTTCAAACTAATTTCTTTATTTATTTTGTTAATAAAAATAGTAATATTATATTACAATTATAATATTTACTGTTTTCTTTCTAAATTTCTTTCTAATTCATTAAAATTTAAATTCTTCTTAAAGAAACAAAAGATTTAATAACCATACTTAAAGAAAATGGTATAATTCCCATAGGATAAATAATAAAATTGGAAACTGCAATAATAGAAAATACATTAACATTTTTCTAAAATTTACTTTTATCCTAATATGAATCATAAGATTATTATAAAAAAAAGAATAGCAAAAAATAGCTTAAACCATTCCAAAATACTAACTAGATAATATCGAACATGGACATTTGTAGCAAACATTTTAGTTCTAATTTTCTTATTTAATCAATTTTTTTTTTAAAATGTTCTTCCCATCCAAATTATTTTATACTTTTTATGCCTTCATAAATGTCTTAACTAAGAGAAATTCTATCATCTTTGTATTTATATTATTTACAAACTATACACTAATGTAAAAAAAAATATTCTTATAATAAATAATAAAAAATATTATTTAAATCGATATTTTTATATAAAATTGTGTTTAATATTGTGTTTAAAAATTAAAAATATAAAAAAAAAGTAATTTTCAACATTTGTAAAGTTATATAAATAAAAAAAAATATATTTATATATATATATATATAATATATATATTTATTTTATTAAATATTATATATTTATTTTTTTATATTTAATTATATTAATTTTTTTTTTTTTATATTAATTTTTATAATTATATTTTTTTATTATATTATATACAGTTTCAATAGTTATAGCCAACATATTAAATAAAACTGCTCCTATTAAAAAATATAAGCCCTAACTAATTGAGTTTTATAGCATTATATAAATTAGAATCATTAAAATAACAGTTGTAAATGTTCCACTTATAGCTTCTATTAGTCCCCAAAATAGTTAAAGAATTTAATCAATATCAACAGTCATGGCATTATTAATATCAGGAATATTTTTATTTTTTTCCTTATTTTTTTAATCAATTTCTTCTTAAAAAACCTGACTTTTTAAGGCTTTTTTAAAAATGATATATTATAAAGTTGTTTTGCATTTCGCTTACCATTTCGCATTAAACCAATTATATTATGCTAAAAATATACTTCTAATAAAATACATAAAAATTAATGATAAAATTAAAATTGTTATAATTAATTTATTTTATTAAGTTTTCGTCCTATTAAATAAATAGGTTATTTTATCAAGAACATATATACTTATACAATTTAGCATATTTTAAAATAAACTCATTAAAAGCCCCATAAACAAGTACTTTCCAGTCATATGCAAAAAAAGTTTATTTAGATTAAAGTGGACTGTATTTTGGAAATGTTAAGGGTTATTTCTTATATAATTTTCTAATTCTTCTATTGTTTATCGGATTTAGGTAGTTTATGTTGTATATTTCTACAAATCTTCATTCTGAATTTAGCATTAAAAACTATTATATTTTTCTTCAGTTTCTTATATTAAACTAGTTAGTTAAGTAAAAAATAAATTGTAATCTTCTGAAGAAGAAATATCGTTAGGATATTATTAATTTTACATTTTTTTTTTTTCAGTATATTTTTTAAAAATGAATTAAAAACCAAATATATTATTTTTAGATTTAAGTTTATTTTTTATTAAAAAATAAAAAATAAAATTCTCTAAATTATTTAACTTTTTCGAATGATTATTATTATGTTTTCTAAAATTAAAAATAAAATTAAAAAATAGATAAACAAAATAAACGAAGACAAATAATTTAAATAAAATAAACATGAATGAAAACTTGGAATTATAATAACATTTTTAAAGCGACTTAAATAAAGTTTAAAATACTAATGATAAAACTAATGAAAATTACTAAGTAAAATAATAGTCATTTTATGACCCAAATAAAATTATTTCTATCAAAAATGTCCATAAAACTTATATTTTAGGAGTTGAGGGAGTAACTGCATTAAGAGGTAAATAAAATAATAAAAACTAATAATTATTTAAAAAGGTGTAACTGTAGATATAAAAGAAGGGGAATTTGTAACTATATTAGGTACATCAGGAGGAGGAAAAACTACTTTATTAAATATAATGGGCACTATTGATAAGCCGACAAAAGTAAAAAAAAATTCATATAATATATTATTCTATTTCAAATTTTATAAAAAAATAATATATATGTATATATATATAAATAAATACAAATAATTTTAAAAATAAAAAAATAACAATAAAATATATATATAAAAAAAAGGGGGATGTATATATATGTGGTTAAAAAATAAAAAATAATACAGATGATAAATTTCTAGCTAGTTTACGTCTTACAAAACTAGGTTTTGTATTCTAAACCTTTAATCTAATTTAAAGTTTAACAGCATTAGAAAATGTGGAACTTCCCATGATTTTAAGAGGAGAATTAAGCAAAGATTAAATCAGAAAAAGAGCCATTTAATTATTAACATAGGTCGGTTTAAAGGAGAGAATAAATCATTTCCCAAATTAACTTTCAGGAGGAGAATAATAAAGAGTAACAGTAAGTCGCTCGCTATCAAATAATCCCAGAATTTTACTTTTGGATGAACCTACAGGCGATTTAGATACAAAATCTACTGATTAAGTAATGAAAATATTACTAGATTTAAATAAAGATAATAATATTACTATGGTATTTTTTTATTTTTTTGATTAAAAATAAAATAAAAAATAAATGAATAGATTATGGTTACACATGATGTTGCTTTAAAGAATTACGCAAATAGAGTCATTAAAATGGTAGATGGTAAAATAAATTTAATAGAAAAAATACCAGATAATAAAAGAGAAGAAAATTTATAAAACCTATCTAGAATAGTAGAAAGTTATAAAAAAAATTAAGAAAAATCTAATGTTTCTTGTCATTTAGAATTTATTTCAACTAAATAAATCGGAGTTAAAAATAATGAAGAAAATTTGAATAATAATGGATAAGAGGCTAAAATTGGTGTGATATAATAATTATCTTAAAAAGAATAAAATTAAGTTAATTAAATTGAAATTAATAATAATAAAACAGAATATAGAAAATCTAATGATTATCCGATTATTTAATATATGAGAAAAAAAACAGAATTATAAATAGCTGCTAATAATGATTGAATTGAAAATAAAAAGAAATATAATATCTTAAAAGTAAATAAGTTCATTTATTTTTTTAAGTTTTATATTCTAAACAATTTTTTTTTTTTTTTAAAAAAAATAACAAAACAAAAAAAAAAATTAAGTATATAAACATATAATTAAAATATATAAACATAAAATATGTTAAAAACTAATAAAAATAAATACAATCACAAAATAATAATATATACATATATATATATATATATATATATATATATATATATATATATATACATATATATATATCTCAAATTATTTAAAAACAAAAGTTCTCAACTTTTTGATCAAACTTTTCTTCCTCATCTTTTTTTATGAATACGGACTTTTTAATGATCATCTTCTTCCTCTTCTTCATTAATAGCCATTTTTAATTTCAACTTGGATTTCTCATAAATATTTGATGCTTTGTATTTCTATTAAGAGTTTTATCTTCTACTGTTACTCCTACTTTATTATTTTTCGTCAATAGACCCTATAGTATAATAAGCATTTTTTGAAGCGTCAGATTTTTGTCTAGAATTGCATCCTGTAAAAAGAGAATCTTTAATAACAAAAGAGCTTAAATTATTATCGATTTGTTCAATATCTTTACTAAGGTAAGGAATTCTTAAAGGCATAACAAATAGAGATTTTGTTTTTTCTCTTACGCTATTAGCAGGTTCATCTAATTTAAGGTTTTCTTAAGAAGGTGATTTTTTTATTACTTAATTAAAGTATTCGTGTTTTAAAATATCTTATATTTTTATTCGTTTTTCAGGATATTTTTCTAACATTTTTACAAGTAAATCTTTACAATGTTTAGAACTTTATTCAATTTCTTTTTTATTAAAATCTATTATGCAATATTTATTTTTTTTCAAAACTTCATTAAATTTGTTTCCTGGAAATACTGCTTCTCCAGTAATTCTATCCAAAAAAATAAAATATTAATACAAAAAAAAGTAAATATAATTAATTATAAAATAACTTTTTTTTTACAATATATAAAATATAACTCCTGCTGAAAAAATATCACATATAGACTAATAACCTTTAGTTTAATCAACTAAATTAGCTACTTCAGGAGCTACAAATCCAGGAGTTCCACATTTAGGAAATATATATGGGAATTCATTTTCGAAAGCTCCTAAACCAAAATCTATTATTTTAAGAATCCCTTTTTATGTAAAAAGAATATTCTCAGGTTTCAAATCTCTATGCATTATATTTTTAGAAGTATAGTATTGTATACCTTCTATAAGCATTTTCATTATTAATGTTATTTTGTTTTCATTAAAAGGTTATTATGAGTGTCTTTTAATTTCTTCATATAAGGAGATCCCATCTATTATTTCCATTACAAAATATATTGTATTTTCGCCTTCATAAACTTCATATAATTTTATTACATTCTAATTATCTGTTATACTTCTCATTACTTTCATTTCATTATATATGGAAAGCATTCCTTTATTTTGGCTTAATATTTTTTATTTTTCAAAGCATTTTACCGCTACTTTTTGTTTAGTTATTTTGTTTATTGCAGAATATACCTATTTATAAATATTTTTATGTTAATTAAACGAAAATATGATCTTATTTTACAATAGCATAATTCCCCTTTCCTATTTATGCTTTTATTTTATATTCATCTTAAAAACGAGATTATATTACTTTTTAACTTAATATTTATTTAAGCTTTGTCAAAACTATTTATTCTGAAAAATATTAGAATGTCTATTTTTTTTATTTTATTATTAAACCATACATTACTTATTAATTATTATGCTTATTTTTCTAATATATCCATTTTATATGTGTATTTGGCTTTAGTTCAATTATTTTTTCTGGAAACTTTTAAAATCGTTCCTTGAATTTTAAATGTAAATAAAAATTTAATTTTTTTTATTATTACATTACAAATAATTAAAAATTCATCTACCATATATACATATTTTATTTTATCTGGTAGTATTATATTATGTTTAACTATTCTATATTCATATTAAAATTTAGAATAATCTATTGTACCTTCTTTCGTATAATAGTCTTATATTTTTGTATCACTATTAAAATATATTTATTAATTTATTTAAACTGCATTATTATCATTTTAAGGTTTTATTTTATTTATAGACATTTTAATAATGTTTTTTTTTTAAAAAAATCTATTATTATTGTTATATTTTATTATTAAGCATTAAAATTTTTTTTTCGTCATTTGAATAATAAATTTTTATATATATATTAATAAATCATATTTGAAAGTTTATTAATTTTAAACACTTAAACAAATATTTATAATATTAAATTAAAAAATTGTTTAACTTTTGCTTTGTAATTAATAATATGAACAAGAAAAAAAGAATAAATGAATAATTTATTCTTATATAAAATTGAATATAAATTATAACTTCTTATATGAAATTATTATAGATTTCTAAAGACTATAGTTTATTATAATTACATTATTAAAAAAAATACATATTAATTTGCTTGTAATAAATTATTAAATATTCTCCAAAAATATTAAAATATTTATTTATAACTTATTTAATTGATATAATTTAAAAATTAATCCGTAATATATATAAATTATTATAATTTTTAATTTAAAATTATATTTTTTTCTCTCAATTTTTTAAATTAAAAGAATAAAAAAAAAATTTAAATATTTAAGATATTATATATTAAAATTACTATTTTTTAATATTTTAATAATTCTGAAAAATTTTCATATAAAAAAAAAAATCAAAAAAGCCAAAAATAAAATAAAAACCAATTTAATTTTTAATAAATAAATATAATTTTTTATCTTTTAATAACTATCAATTTAACTATAATTAATCTAAATTTTTGATCATCACATGTTTTTTTAACAACATAATATCTTCCCTTAATAATTTTCTAAGACATTCAGTAAAATATTTAATATTATTTTAAGCTGTGAGCTAATTAAATATTTTTTTTAACATTTCCTATATTTAAAAAAAACAAAAAAATATAGATAAATATAAATAAAATAAAAAAAAAGGAATACACTGCATTCAATATCTATAAATTCATCATTTAAATAAATTAAATCTTCTTCAGTAGTTTCATCACATTCTTCCCCATCATCATATCCGAAAGCAAATCCTTCAGTCATATAATTAGTAGATCCGATTTCAAATTCTCCCAATCCTCCAGTTTTATTTTCTCCAGTCTAAAAAATAAAAAAAAGTAAACAAAATAAAAAAAAATATTAAAAACATTAAATTTTTTCTAAATATCAACATTATTATTATTATTATTATTATTATCTTCTTCATCTTAAATAATATTCAAATCAACTTCGATTTTTTCTTCATTATCTAATTTTTCATAAACCAAATTATCTTCATCTTCATCTTCTTCTTCTTCGAATTAATCATCATCTTATACTTCTAACCTATCTTTATCATATTAATTAAATAATTAATTTTTTTCTTTTTTCTTTTCTTTTTTTTATTAAGGTCCCATTTCATTATCTAATCCTCTTATCAAAGTACTTAAAATCTTATATGGCGCAATTACATCATTTCCCACATTTGAATGAGATGGATTATATGCAATAGCCAATAAATTTTCTATTCTTTTATCTTTTAACAAAAAGAGTTTACTTAAAGCCAAAAAAGTTGTGTTTTTGGTCAACCTTCCTCTAAATACAGGCTATTATAAAAGCCATTTATCAATTAAAACTTTTATCGCAGGTCTATTTTCTATACTAAACGAACTTAGGAAATTTACAGCTTCCAAAGCATTATTATTTATTAACCTGGCCCAAACTAATACTAAACCTTAAACAGTGGTAGCTAACTTTGAACGGAATATTTTATAAACTATTTGCCTTAATATATCTGGATCACCATTTCCTCCAAGAAGCTTTTTAATTTTTAGTTTTTTTATTTTTTATAATTTTACTTTATGAAAAGCTATTATACACAAATTTCCTGAATAAGTAGACGAAACTTCGCTTTGAGAATTTAAAGGAATTTATAAAAGTTTCATTATTACTTTCATCATATCTTATATTAAATTACTTTATATTTTTTTATATTTTTAAAATACAGAACATTTTATATTTACTTTTAAAATATGTATTCATTTCCTATTTTTAAAAAGCTTTTAAGACAAATTGTTGCATTTTATTAAAGTGTATTTTCTTCGTTTAAAATCATTAGTTAAATTAAAGGATTTAACAATTACATTAAGGAATTTGCATCAGAATTATTTTTGCAATAATTAATAAAAATATTTATTATCTCTAAAATACTCTTTATTTATTTAAAAAAATTATAACATAAAAAATATAAATAATTATTTACAATCATCAAATTAATATCATATTATTTAATTTATTGCAAACTTGGATTAACTTCCAAATAATTTTAGAAAAGTTAAAAACTGTCTAAAATAAAAGGCGAAATTCCTTCAAATACAACCCTAAAAGCCATAGGATTTTCCACTAATAAAACAAGTAAATTCATTACACATTTATTAATTCCAGGATGATCATTTAAAAGTGTAAAAATTTTGAGGATATAATTAGCTCCTACACTAGCCAATTCAACCGAATAATTATTATTTTCTAATTTGATTAAATTTTAAAGACTATCTAAAACCATAAGAACAGTATCCTAATCTTAAAAAATATCCAAAATTTGAATAAAATAATGAATAATGTCTACATTTCCAATTCCATAATAAGAAAATTAGGTAGAATTCATTAATTAATTTTTGAAAAAGTGTATTTTATGTGAGATAATTCCTAAGCTTTTAATTGCAACAAGCAAAACAAAAGCTTAATTATTTTAATTAAAAATACACTCCTGTGTAATTTTGAAAGCTTCTAAAAACAGAGTTACATCTTTAGCCCCTATAATTTCAGAATATCGTGAAATACACCATAATGCTCTCGAAATTAAAATCGAATTTTCCTATTTATTGAATGTTTTTATTAAGTATTTTATTAACTGTAATATATCATATTATTTATTTCGATAGCAAAATACAATAATATCATCTGAAAAGCTTCCCAAAATATATAAAGCGGCTTCTTGTTATTTTAATAAGTGTTTTTCAGAATTATTTTAAAATCCGGAGTTTTTTATTATTTCGGAAAACTTTTCTTTTGATAATTCTATACTTGTTTTTTTATCTTTTTTTATTTTCAAAGCTCTATCGAAAGCATTAATTAATTCTTGATTTTAGTTTTTATTACTATCTTTACCCATTATAAAATTTTCACAAATTTAAAATATTGCCAATACAGTTTCATCTTTATATTTATCAATTAATGAAAATAATAATTATATGCACTAGTTTCTTATACTATTTTTAGTATATTCATCTTCTTCATTTACTATTATTGCAGATGTAGGTTCATATATATATAATTATTCCTTTTTTAATAAATATAAATATATTTACATATTTTTTTTTACTTACAATATCTTTTGTTATAAAAATAAAATTTGAAAGGGCATTTATTAAAGGATAGACTGCAATTTTTATAATTTAATAAAATGTTTCTTTGATTGCTAAAGTACTTATTAACTATATGCAGTTTAAAGTAAGTCTATATATATCATTTTAATATAACTATTCATCCTCTTCATCTAAATAATGGCTTCCTAAAGATATATTTTCTTCATCTTTTTGTTCTTTTTATTTCCAAAACTCATCTATTGGCTAAATATTTTCATTTAAAAATTTTAAAGGTACATTATAAACACAATTCCACATATATAAAGGTAATATAGAATTAAAGAAGCTCCAAATAGGAATTAATTTCGAGCTTATAGATTTTCTTGAATAATAAGTAAAGTCTCTATAAATTATATTTAAAATCTATTATTTTTAATTAAAAAATAGCTTTAAATTTATTTAAAATAAGTACTTTTAAAATATAAATTTTCATTTTTATATGAGACTTCGGGTTTGTTTTTAAAGCACTCATAAATAAGTTAATCCAAGCTTCAAAAGTATCATCAAAACATTAAGAAACCAACTAATTATTTAAATCATCAGCCCAAGCAAAAGAACCTACAATCATATATAATAATACAATAAGTTTTACTCTTTAATCTTCATTTAACTATTTATTTATTTTTAATTATTTTGTTTATATGTGTAATTAAAATAAATAATATGTATATGTATTTTTATATATAAGTACATTATATTACTTCAGGATTAGCAAAAATATGGAAAAGAGATAAAAGCAATGAAGGTATTATTGGAGCTAATGAAAATTATTCAGGTAATATTTTTTCTTGGATGTATTTTTCATTAATTGAGGAAAATAAAGTACTGAAAAACTCTAATCCAGTATCAACTAATTGTATTTCCTAAGTAGGAATCCATTAAATTATTTCTATTAAAGAATTAGTCCATAATTAAACACCATCGAAAAATATTAAATCTGATATTATTAATGCCTTTTTTTAATTATATTTATTTAAAATATTTTTTTTTTTTGTTTTAACTATTATTTCTATTATTTTTAAATTTTCGACATTCATTACTATTCCGTTTAATAATAATTCTCTAATTTACTATTTTATTATTTTATTTATATTTAGATTTATATTTAATTTTTACTTTTTTTTATTTCTATAATTGCTTGTCTTTCATCCAATTATCTTTAAGAATATTTTTTATTAATATGCCAATGTAGGCTCTAAATTATTCTTCATAATCTTAGCAGACTAATAATTTTATGGATTAATAAGCAAACTCTTCTTTTTATTATATTAAATCTAATAGATATTAATCTCCTTTTACTAATAATTAATCTTTATTATTAATAATATTTTGATAAATTTCAAACACAAATTATGTTTCGCTCATTTAAAAGGTATAAGTCCTTAAATTAAAATAATTAATAATAAATAAAAAATATATATTTTTTAATTTCTTTATGTTTTTATAAAGGAAGAAAAAATTAACATATAAAATAAACTATAATATAATTAATTATTTTTATTATATTTACATATTAATTATTTGAAATTTTTTATATTTAAAAAGTTTTATTATATCTGATTAATTTTAAATTAATTTATTTTTAAAATTTTATTTACTATATTTGTTTTTAGTAAACTAAGAAAAATTAAATTAATAATGCATCTCTAATATTTTTTAATATTAAAATAAACTATAAAAAGTATATTTTATAATATATATATATATATATTATTTAATATTTAAATCTTTATAATTAAAAAAAACCCATTTATAATTATATTTTTTTAAAAAATTTAAAATTAAATATAATAATTATTTATAAATTATAATAAAATCCTTTGTTTTAAAGCAATCTATAAAATTATATATACTATATTATTAAAAAAATTATATATATACTATATGATTAAAAAAAATTAAAATATAAATTTAAAAATTTATCTTTACTGTATAAAATAAATAAAATAAACTATATAAAATAATATGTATTTAATATATTTCACACAAATACGAATAAATTTTATAATAATTTTGCTATTTAAATAGAAATAATTAATACAAAAATAAATAAAAATTATAATAAATTAACAAAAAAAATGCAAAATCCTCTTCATTACAATTATATAAGTAACTTTTTAAAAAAAAACTATCAAATTTATGGAATCTTTTATATTTTATTGAACAAAATTACAAATAATCTAAAATACTTAACACGATTTTAATGATAATATTTTTCTTATAAATTTTCAGTCTATCAAGTACATAAATATTTAAGAATGATACTAATATATTTGTAATAATCTTAAAATTTACTTTGAAATCATCGCGATTAATTCCAATATTATTATAAAATGCAAATAACCATGAAAATATATACTTAGCATTACAAATAATATTTATATTAATAGATATATTGTTTCTTATTTTATTTTTATAATTAGTGAATAAAAATCCAGATGATTTATTTTAAATAATATAATAGAATTATAAATAAATTTATTTTTTGCATTTGTACATATAATATTTTAAATGGATACTTTTTATAATAAAATCTGATTTTATTTTGAGCACTTTTATATGCGTTTTTTTCGAATAAGGATTAGAAATATCCTTTTTTTAAAAATTTAATTAAACTATGAAAACTATAATAGGAATTTTATCAATAATTCATTTTATATTATTATTATTGATTAGTTTTATATATACTTTTGTATATAATAATGTTGATATGTAACCATAAAATCCTTTCAAAGTTTAATTTTCAATTAAAAAAATCATTGAATTATTATTTTTATTTATTTTTAATTGCTTTATTCATTTAGAATTTATGGAAAATATAAATATATTAATTTTTAACTTTTTAATTGGCATTTATTATTATTGTGAATAATTTATTTAATTTCCTTTTATGAATAAGTATTATTTGCAAAGATATACATAAGTTATTATATTTTATTTGTATATTTGCATTCTTTAAACTATTGATTATTTTACTTCTCATTTTAAAGAGAAATCATGTTTACTTTATTCATTTATTTTAGGAACATTCCTGATTACTGTAGAAAAAAGTTTTGTTTAAAAAAGAATTAATAAATTATATTAAATGAATATCAAAGATTCACATAAAAAACCTTATTATACACTTTTTTATTTTGATGTTATTATAAAATTATCTAAAAAAATTGAAATTAGTTAAAAAAATGAAATTAAAATTCTAGGCATTCTCGAATTTCATAAATTATATTGTAGTGATAATATTTGTCCGTGCAATTTTCAATATAACTTATAAAATTAATAATAAGACAATAATAATTTCTAAAATTTTGAATTTACTAAAAATGATATTTCTTAAATTATATAATTATAGTATAATGGTAAATATTAAATATAAAAATAATTATAGATTATTTTATATTTTCTGTAATTTTATTTTAAAAACTAATTAACAATAAAAATAGGTTAATTAAAATTTTTATTCCATTTTTTATATTAATTGAGTTTTTAATATAATAATTATAGAAAAAAATTATAAACAAAGATTTTATAAATATAATTATTTGTTGATAGTTTTATTTTATATTTTATTATAATTAAAATCTATTAGATATTGTTATAATATTTTTATTTTTATTGATTTGGTTTTTTTTTTTTTAAAAAAAAAACAGAGAAAAATAAAAATATTGATAATATAATAAAACATTATAAATAAAATAATTTTTTTATATAAAAAAATATAATATATTTTAATTTTAATTTTTTATTTATCTTAAAAGAATTCAGATAATGGATAAATAGATTTGTTGATTACCATTTTAGAAAAATGATATTTAATTTAAAGAAAGATTAACAAAAAAATTATTTGGTATAATTTAAATAAATAAAAAACTATGAAAAAAAATTATTATCAAAAAAAAAAACTAAAGATATTGTAAGATTTATAAATGAAATATTGGATTTTTTCCATTAAGGAATAAAATAATTATGTAAAAGCTTTATATTATTTAAGAAAAGAGAACAATAATTATCATAGAAAATAATTTATTTTTTAAATGATAGAAAAATCTTGTTTTCAAATAATTAAAAATTATGTAAAATAGTTAGACAAATCAATGAAATATTCAAGCTTGTAATATATATATAAAATAATGTATTTAAAATAAATAAATAAAATATATATATATATATATATATATATATATTTATATAAATTAAAATATTAATTTATATTATATAATGTAAAATTAGATATTATAAATTATTTTTTTATTATTATTAATTTATAAATTAAAAAATTAATTTATATTTATAAATATTAACTATTAAAAAATTGCATATTTTATTTTAGTATATTATAATACATTATTTTAATTTTATTTATTTATAAAAATATATATTTATTATTTTATTTTATATTAAATTTATAAATTTTAAGACAAAAAGATATTTAATTTTCTTAATAAATAGAATTATTTGAAAAAATGGTACTTTCAGATTTATAAATCGAAGATACAATTAAAAATTTATTAAAAATTTTTTAATATAAATAAAAATTAATTCAATAGCTTATAAATGGTTATGACTCTATAGATGATCTAGAAGATTAAGTTTTAAATTTAATGTTACAAAGTGATTAATTTGAAAAACAAATTAAAGACCACTTGGAGTACTACTAATCAAGTATTCATTTTAAAAAGATATATTCTATTTTTAGGCTTATTATATATAATGATATTATTTATTTTAAAAGCATTTCTTAATAATTATCAAATATATCTTTTTAATTCTCAAATACTAAAGAATAAGTAATTAATGTTTTAAATATTTTAGAAGGTATATTTGTTTATTTTTAAAAAAATTATTTATTTCTTCTATTTTATAATAAAAAAGGTAACGTATCTACAATAGTAAGTAATTTTAATACATCTTTTGCAAAAATTTAATAATTTTCAGAAAACACTCCTAACTTTTTTGGATATAAAAAAGAACATTTCTAAAATATTTCTTCTTTAAATGAACTTATTCCTGATTATATTAGTATTTGGCATGATAAATTTATCTTAAGATTAATTGAAACAGGAAAAACTAAAATTATGAGAAAATATAGAAACATTGTTGCTAAATGTAATGGTATATTTATTATATTGTTATTATTTTGATTTTTATTTTAAGGAGGGTTTATTTTCAAAATTAATTTATATGTAAATTATTTTTGGAATATAAATAATAGTTTTTGTTTTTCAGCTTTATTATTAAAATTAAATTCAAATTCTTAAATAATATTAGCGGACTAATATGGAAAAGTAAAGGAGTTTTCATAGAATTTTTACAAATTTATTAATTAAATATCAAAAAATAGTTTTGATGCAAACCTTCTATTAGAAACTCATTTATCTTATCTAATTCCAGGAATATAAAATTTATTTAAAAAATGTGAAAATAATAATATATATAAAAACATATAATATGAAATAAATATACCGAAAAGTAAAAATTCATATTTTCTTTTTCAAAAAAAATAAAAAATACATAAAAAAAGAATTCGGAATGTATTTTAAAAATGCTAAATATCATTAATTAAATAAATAAAAAATATCCCCAGGATTTATAGAATAATAAAAAAATAATAAAATATCATTTATTTGTGAATTAAGTGTGGCTAAAGAATAAATAGATTTAATAGAAGGTACATAGCTAATATTTTATATAGTAGAAATAACTAAATACAAATATATTAAAGAGGAAATAAATTCATATACAAATTAATCAAAATATTCTATTCAAAAATAATAATTAAAAAATTCTTTATTCAAAGAATTGAAAATAAATATAATAAATGATGATTAAAAATAAAAATAAGAAATTTTAAATTAGTAAAAAAAGATAAAAAAAACATAATATTATAAATAATAATAATAATAATAATAATAATAATAATAATAATAATAATAATTTTTAATTAATAATTAATGAAATAAAATAGTATTTAAGAAATAAATTAAAATAAAAATTATTTTTTAGAAGAAAATTTTATTAATGATTTAGGAAATTAAAGTTAAAATAAAAAAATAGATGGCGATTAAAATAACTTATTATTAAATTAAAAAATTATAAATGCAAATTCTTTTTCTTCTTAAACTAATTAAACATAAAATTCTAATATTTAATTAAGTTAATCTTTTATTGTTTCGGATTTAATGCATCAACAAGTTATTAAAAAATAATCTGTAAGGTAACGAAAAACTGCAGTTTAATTTTAATAAGAAAATATTTCATAAGAAAATTTAAATGATATTACTGAATAAAATATTCCAAAAAGAATCACTAAGACTTCTTATTCTTCTTGTAATTAAAGTGTACTATCTTCTTTTTAAAATAAAAAATATATAACATCTACAAAAATACTTCAAGAGAAAAATTATTTAAATACAAAGATAAAGCACAATAGATAATGCAAGTTAATGTTCGAGTTCAAAAAACATGAATTAAAGAATCAAACAAATTTTCTAAAAAAATGATATTTGTGAATATGAAAGTGAATAAGGAAATGTTAGTAATGATGATACACATAGTATATAAAAAATAATTAATATAAAAAGCGATATTTAAAATTCAAATCACTATTATAAGTTTTTTTTTTTATAAATAATTAATTATCTTATATATATATAAATATATTTATCTATATATTTTTTTTTTTTTTCAATATAGTGAAGAAATTTATTAAAATAAGGAAAAATTTAAAGCTAAAAATTAGATTAACCTAATTTATAATGTAGCTAATTACAAAAAAATACCTTAATTTATGTATATTACATATAGAATATTCATTAGTTAATGGTTTTTATAAATTATTTTAGGGCTTTTAATATTAAATTTATTATATTTAAATATAAGTGATTTTTAATTTTTGATAAAATAATTAAACTATACTACTGAAATTACTTCATATTTTAGTTTACTTAATCTTTGTAGTAATTTTATTGGGTTATAAAATTTAAAAATTCTCAAAGTAAATTAAGATCAATCCTTTTTATTTAAATAATGTAAGAAAATTACACTTATATATATAAATAATTCCAAGAAAATAATACTTTATATTCTTAATTTAATTACTAATAAATTCTTTTTGAATAAAATATACTTCTTAATGCTATGTATTCAAAATAAAATCTTTATTTTTAAAGAAAATATTCTATTTTTGAGTTAGTTTAAAAAGTTTTAAATACTTAACACTAATTTTTGTTTGATAATATTTATATTTAATTAAATAATCAATTTCTTGCCTTTTTAAAATTAAATATGAATGAAATCTTTCAAAAATTTTTAGATATCCAAAAATTATAAATTGAATAAAATGTTAATATTTTGTCTTAAATCTAAACTTTAAATATTATTTTTATTAGTATTATTTGGGTACTTTTTATTGCCTTTTTCTACTTTTCTATACTATAATATAAATCTTATAAATAATTCATTAATAAAGTCAATTATGATTATTTCTAGAATTACACAAGATGAAGCTATTAAAACAAATTTAAAGTATAAAATACACAAATTAAATGTTATAAAAAGAAAATTAAGGTATTATATTTATTTAAAATTAAATTAAATATATTTTTTAGAATATCTTGTCTTTGAAAATTTAAACTTTAAACAAATAGAAAATAAAGAAACGTAATTTAAAATAAAGAAATAAAAATGGAAGTTACTAATTTTCAAAATGTATATTTATTTGACAGAATAAAAAATAATAAAAGCTCAAACAAGTTTTTTCTTTATTTTATTTTTATACTAACACTATGTTAGTTAGTAAATTTTTTGTAATAAAAATAAAATCAAAAAATAAATTAAAATAAATATTTATTTTTTAAAAAATAAAATAAAAAAGGATTTCTTATAAATATAATAATTATTAAATACACTAAATAATATAACAAATATATATCAATAAATAAACAATTCTTAAATATATTTTAGTGAAACAATAAATTCTGCTAATACATAATTAATACAAAATACAATTTTAATATATTAATAATAAAATCCTAACTTTATTTATTTTTTTGTTGACAAAGTTTAACTTGAAACTTAAAAAAAAAGGGAGCAAATATGTGTAAAACTATATTTTAAAATCTTTTTGAAAAAGTCTAATTAAGTGATTTTAAATCTGAAACAAAATAGTGTATAAATGAAATTAATAGTACAGGTAGTTGTAAATATCTAAAAGACACTTAAATTAATGAGTAATATTATTTATTATGCCTAAGAGCTTACAAAGGAGTAGCAAATTTAGGTTTTTTATATGCCATAACATAAATAATAAATGAAATACTTTTATAAGAATATGGAAAATAAGATATTTAAAAATCATATAATTACATATAAACTTAACAATATTTTGAAAATATACAATTACTTGTTGTTCTTTTAAAAATATAATAATAAATATAAAAAGTAATAATGGAAGAAGTATTAAATATAACAAATGACAAATGCCAATAATTAATTTTTTGGGAATAATAGGAAATATTTGTGTTAGTATTATTTTTATAATATTATATAGGTATATTGCATTTAGAGTATAGGAGAGATTTTTTTAAATAAAAAAGGCAATTTAATTAATTTCATATTAAAGAATAAGTGAAGATTAAAACATAAAATTTTAGCTTAAATAATTATTTAAAATTTACGGAAGTTAATAAAGAAATTAAAAATGAAATTTTTATTTTAAAAAATATTAAAAAAATAAAAATTATTATGAAGAAAATAATATATGAATTTTTTATTTTCAATTTAAATACAAAATACATAATTTTTCAAATATAAATTAAATGTTTAGTTAATTAATAGTTAATATTATATATTATAAATATATATATATATATATATATATATATATATATATAAATAAACATTTATTTAAAAAAAAAAATACAAAGAACAATTTTAAATGGAATTGGATTTATACATTGACCATTCAAGTAAAGCTAAACATTAAAAAGAGCATATATTACGCGAAATATAAAAAAAGTAATAACTAAGTAAATTAATAGATGAATACGAACATAATCCATCCGAACAATTAATGTTAGAAGCATCAAAAAACGAAACAGTAATAGACATTGAAAAAAGTTTAAATAGTCAAAGCCAAATTAAACTTATACGTTTCCTCGTAAAAAAATTAAGATACTTTAAAAGATGAAGAAAGTTTAAATTCATCATTGGATTTAGATTTTTATGATTTATAAGGTTAAAATACCAAAAAAAAGAAAACAAAAAAGGTAATTAAATAATAAAATAATTAAATTTCAAAAATTGCCCCTAATATATTTTATACCGAAAATTATTTATATAATATTTCACCCCCTTAAAAAGGGGTAAAAAGTGATATAAAAAGTGAATCAACATAAATATCTAAACAATCGAAAAATGAAGGAATATCATAATAAAATTAAAATTCGATGACTCCAATTAAAAAACATGTATATATACCAAACATGCAAAATAATAAAGAAATGTTAAAAAATAAAATTCTAAACTTATAATAATAGTATTTTACTAATAAAATCATTAAAAGTACTATAAATAATGATAAGGGATAATTTTTTAATAAATAAAATGAAGAAAATAAAGCCAAATAAAACTAATAATATTCTATATTAAAGTAAATTAATTTTCTAAATAAAAGTTCTCTTTAAAATAATTAAATATATATCAAAGATAACTTTTAATAATAACCTTAATTAAAGTAATATCTAATTCAACTTTAAAAAAATCAGCAAATTATATAAAAATAAAATAATAAAAAATAAGATTCTTATAAAGTTAACGATAAAAATTTACAATTAAATTCTTTTAGTTAATCATAAATATTCACAAAATATAATAATAAAAATCACATTAATATTAAAAATAACTTTTCTTCTTGTAATTTATAAAGTTTGAAAAAAATTAAAAGTAATAAAAAAATATTTACTAATGATAATAATTATTCGCAAGTGCAATCTTGTCAAAACAATCGCATTATTAATAATTAAAATATTAAAAAACAAAAATAAAATTTACTTGGTTTAAATGAAAATAATAATATGAAAAATTCAGCTTCAGCATAAGCCTTTCAAAGTGCTAAAAACATATGGATAGACTTAAAAAATTC